GCCATTCAGGGTCGTGATCCTCCCACTACCAAGAGCGAGTGTTTTCCCTGCTCTGTTATCCAGCCTGAGGCGTTACACACTTCCTTAGAAACCTCGGACAGCGACCCTTCCGGATACTGCCCAATGTTTACTCCTGGTTTGGGATGGGCAACCCCTCCACATGGCGTGGATAGATCCCTGACTACAGTGACATACCCCTTGAAGAACTCTACCCAGCCAGAAGCTTGCTGTTACAAGTTGCCGCCACGCAACCCGGTGACCTCTTTGTGCGGGATTGGATACCAATCACATCGCATGATACCCACATCGAACCTCTCTGCCGTCAATTGTTTTCATCATATATGAAAATGTTATTTTTTCCTCCATAGACGCTTTGTCGCACCGACGCTTGGTGAGAGTCTGACAACCTGCAATGGAGACAAATTCGTGCTCGCAAAATATTTTTGGGCTTCACGAAACGGTCATCTCCTTTACTCCAGCGTGGGAAACAAGACGCCTTTTTCATCGGATCTGTCACGCAAACTGGAATTCGGATTTAGCCTTGCAAGGATACATTGTCAGGACAAACGCTAGAATATAGAATCACATTACAATTCATATTGGATGGCTCGCGCTATGAATGCATACGTCTCACCCGTTCTACGGTACTAGTATTTTACAAGCTTTTCAAACGGCGATCGCTGTGATCTTATTCAAAAAGGCTTTCCTTCTATTGGGATTGTAGCGGGTGTGCGTCACTTTGCACACCCCTAGATTTTCTTGGGCCTATGCAGTCGCAAGGCGCGGGCAGTGATGCGGTGTAGTCGTTAAGCACCGCTGCGAATGGCAGCCGGTGGACTCATCCCTTCCAGACCGCCGTGGCAGCGGTCTGCCACAACTATGTCGGCATCGCAGAGAAGCCCGTTTCTCAGTCCTCGGTGCTCTTGTACATATCCTGACGTAGTAATTGAGAACATGGCATTGGGAAACAACAATGAGCAGTATCCAAAACCCATAGATCTGCAATAGATAGTACATTGGATTCTTTAGTCCGTTAACCCATGGCGGGCCGTTCGCTCCCTGGAAAGAGCGTCGCAAACGTCAACGCCTCGAGTGCCTCTTGGTTGCGTGTAAAAATCTGTAGGACATACTGCGACAGGCTCTGGCCCGGCGCGTCGCTCTCGTCGCTGCTGTTGTCGCCTCCCCCGGGGCATAACGATGCTTGTACGGGAACTGAATGTACTCGGCCAACCGAATAAGCGTCGACGCGCCGCCTTCTGTTGGCTCCATCGTCATCCTACGCATTGTCCGTGCACCCACCCCTTGCTGGATACAACGCTGGCGTACGTACCATTGGCTCGAGTCGCCCGTCGAGACGGCGTGGTGCGCGCACGGCTCGTCGATTTCGATCGTTCGCATCACGATTGACATGCGGTCGCCGTCCATGTACCGCCCGATGCAGTAGTTGGCACGCATGTCGGGTATGCCGGGGCAAAAAGCGACAAACTGCATGTAAATCACGTCCTCGTCCACGCGCTCGAGTCGCTACCCATGGTGTGCGCCGGCCATTTTGAAGACAACGATCCACTACCTTCATCATGAAACTGGGCATGACCACGGGCGTCTCGAGCTGCAGGAAATCCCAGATCGACGCGGCAACGGCCGCGACCGGCCGTGGTGCAACCATCGCGCCCACGTGCGTGAGGAGAAGGCGGCTGTACGCGTCTTCGTCTGTGATGTCTGTCCGTCGGTACGGCGCTGCCATGTCGACCATGCCATATTGCACAAACGCCGACTCGAGCTTGGCGTACTGCGCATCGAGAAGCGTGCGCATGCTCGCGGCCCGCGCGATCGGGTCCATCATGCTGAGATGGCACGGCACGAAGACGTCGTCACAGAGTGCCTCGACCTATACGTCATGTTATTGTCTTGCGCACGGTGCAGGCGGGTACGAGGACCTTTGTTTTCTTGGCAAAAATCTTTTGAAGGCTTTGGGCCAAATGGAGCTGCTCCTCGAGCGCCTCCTTGAGCCGCTGGTTCTTCTGAATCGCGACTTGGGCTTCCTCGGCCTGACGTCGCGCGATGTGTTCCCACTTGGAACACACGACGAGGTCGAGCTTCTTGGCTTCGAGCACCGAGAGCTGCGAGGTGAGGTCGGCGACTGTCGCCTGGAGGTAGCGCATCTCGTCCGCGTGCCGCTTCCGAATGCGTTTCTTGGGCTTCGTCGGCGCATCGTCCGAGCGCGGCAGAAAGAGGAGGTCCTCGACGTCGTGGAGGTCGGTCGTATCGAAGAACGAGAGGTCGTCCAGCTCGATGGCGTCCATCGTCGATACTTTGACTCTGCGGGGTTCATGCAGCCCGCGAGCCAATCATCGTACAGGATTCCAGCTCCATACCTCGCACAACCTGGCCGTACACGGTGACGCCCGTTGATAAAGGTAGCAGCAGACCGTCTTGAGCGAATCATCATATTATTGTACGATGCAGTCGGCTTCACAGCGGGCTGCGTGGCGCACGATGCATACACGAGCAGCGATGTGTCGTCGCGCGGGTGGCAGGTAGATGTGGTAAATGTGGCAATCACGACAAACAAGACGAATAGAACCCGACCGATTCGTTGAAGGGTTAAAAAACGCTAGCGCCGACGCGACGCGCATACTTGCAGCAATACTTGCAGCAGCATGGACAGCGCCGACACCCAGCTACTCCAAGATCTGGCCGAGGTCGACTTTCTCAT